TTTAAATGTTATCCTTGTGACTGCAGCAAGCCTCAATGTGAAGTTTATGGAACCTGCTGCCCAGTCATGACTTCCTTGGAAGAAAGAATAGCAGACGAATCTGCATGGAAAATATGGTCAGCGTGGCCATTTCACAACACTGTGCATAGGACCCAGCCTAGAAAACATCCCCAAAGTTTTCAAGAAGCTCCAGGTAAGCGACAGGTTCAGAAGCCGCCCAAACATACCAGAGTGGGGTGCGACGATCGTTCTCTCCAAGGTTTCAGTTTCCTGTACCTTCGGTCATGCCCATTGAGCTTCACTGATCAGCACATAAGGAGACTGTGTGAGGAGGACCTTCCAGAACATGAGCAGTCAGTTGAAGCCTTTGCCCGGATCACTGACAACCAAACAGGGATTGTCTATTACAACCAATATTGTGCGGAATGCATGCAGGTATCAAAGGTATGTGTACTTCCGTTTTAACTGTCTCTTTAATACACACCTTGTTCTCGATCATCGGCACTTCATCATCATCATGTAGCAGGTCCTTTGCAGAATGTCGCTCTCATTACGGTCTGCCTGAAAGAAACTCGGTCTCTCGCCAGCTCTTCCGCCTCATGAACTTTCATACTCAAGGAGTCACTTATATCCTGTGCCCATCTTCGTGTCGGTCGGCATCTTTCCTGGTACCATGCCTTCTGCTATAATTTTTTTCCAATTCGTCGTAGCGCTTGATGTGACCAAAACATTTCAGCTTTCGAGACAGGATGCTGTTTATTAGCCAATCTTCCTTAATGTTCAGATCTTTCAAGATGTCAGCAATTCTCCTCTTTTTAGTCCAAGATATTCTGAGAATCTTCATATAGCATTTTAGCTCAAAAGGCCCTATTCTCTTTTTTAAGTACTGGGAGATAGTCCACGACTCATATCCGTGTGTTGCTACAGAAAAGAAGCATGCTCTCACAATTCTAATTTTAATCTCCTTGCTGGTACTTGGCCAAAAAAATGTTGGGCTGTTAAACATCGGTACTTACAACTACACACAACAGATAAAAAAAATAATAGTTATGTCATGTTGTATTTTTGCTTGCCTGAGAGGCAAGGAGCCAACATTCCGCATACAGATAAGTCAGATATGTAATAATAATAATAATAGTTATGTCATGTTGTATTTTTGCTTACCGTATATATATATATATAAAGGTGTACATAATATTATTTATGCTTACCGTATATATATATAAAGGTGTACATAATATTATTTATGCTTACCGTAAATATAATAGTGTACTTATTATGTTTTTATGCTTACCATATGTATAATACAGTACATATTATGTATTAATGCTTACCGTACATATAATAGTGTACATATTATGTATCTATGCTTACCGTGTGTATAATAGTGTACATATTATTATTATTTTTTTTTTTTTTTTGCTTTCCGTATGTATAATAGTGTACATATTATGTATTTATGCTTACCGAATGTATAATAGTGTACATATCAAGTTAGTATGCCTACCGTGTGTGTAACATAGTACATTTTATGTATTTATGCATACCATATGTAAAATAGTGCACATATTATGTATTTATGCTTACCGTATGTATAACACAGTATATATTATGTTTTTATGCCTACCGTATGTATAACACAGTACACATTATGTATTTATGCTTACCGTGTGTATATTATAGTACCTATTATGTATTTTTGCTTACCGTATGTATATTACAGTAAGTTTTATGTATTTTTCAAATAATGTAATTATTAGTACACAGATTGAATTTTTGTGTTTTATATGCAATCTGTACTACTCATAAAAGTTTGGCTAAGTGCAAGCGAGGTTATAATGTTGCACCTAATGGGTTTTATCTCGTGTGGCTCCCCGTGCGGGTTCCGGGTTCCCATTGTGAGGAAAACAAGAATAGACCCACTGCCTAAGCATGCTGTTGAAGTTGACTAACTGGTGGCGTCCTTCGAAGTAGGAGTCTATCTGCCTGACATTCCGCATACAGATAAGTCAGATATGTAAAGGGGTGTGTAGGCAACACTCAGGTTCTGAAAAAAAGACTAAAGTCCAGATGTGGATGAACAACCAGAACTTGACTCCGGAGTTTCCGCCAGTTAACGCGAAAAAGAAGAACATTTCCTATGGCCAAATCTCTCTTTGCAACGCGACTGGTCGAACGCCAAGCACCCACTCCCTAGCTACCTTTACAATCCCTTTGGATTTCGGTAAAAAAAAATTACGCTCTTGAACAGAAAGTTGCAGTCTGAGAATTCATAACTTTCAGAAATAAGGAAAACGCTTGTCTACAATCACTGAAATCACCAAATCTTTTTCTTCTATTCTTTGTTCACCGGCTGTAAGCTCCGGCAGAAAGTCCTGGTTGTTCATCCATTTGGACTTTGGCTTTGTGCCAGGACCTGAGTTTTGCGTGTACATCAATTTAAATGACCTATTTGTGTGCAGTTGGTTGTTCCTGGCCGCTCGGGCACATGCACTCTGGCTTAAAATAAAGTCCCCAGCTAGTTAACTCCTACGGCATGCTTGCTGGAAAGGCAGTGGATCTATTCTTGTTTTCCCCAACAATGGGGCCCCGGAACCCACATGGGGAATCGCCAAATCTATATCACCATGTTTACTGCCAGATGAGCTTTCATGTCTATCCACAGATCTCGGACCTTAGTGTCATAGTTCAACTCTTCTCGTGTGACTGTCACAGACCTTTGGGTGACCTTGATGGTCCGTGGCTCTTAGCTGGGTCTATGACAGACAAACTAACTTTGACACACACTGAACCAGAACGCACACAGAACACACATGACAATCTTTATTGTAAGTTCAGATATTACAACGGACAGTTTACTCTCCACTGTATAGCCACCTGTTAACTAGAACACTGGCCGAGCGAGCTTTACAATCACTTGCTCTCCAGTCTGTTATCACAGGCAACCCCAGGTGCACAAACCATACATCTGCGGGGGACGTTCTTGTACCTTGTCACCTGAGCTCATCAAGATGTCAGAGCTTATGTCAAGCGCAGGGTCAGCGTGACAAGGTTAGCCATTAGCTCACAACACATACATCTAACTGATTTAACTGATCAGAAATAAAGGGACACTACTTACTTATCGTGATACAACACAATACATTATACTATTTCAATATACAGCGCAAAAAAGACTATACTAATATAAAATAACACTGTAAATCATCTATGCAGTCACTAAAAGAATATCCTAACTCTAACGTTCTAACTCTGTCTCGCTAACACGTCCTCTCGGTCCGAACACTGCACCTCTAACCCCTGTGTTCTCTCACCTCGTGCCTTTTGACCCGTTAACCCGCTCAGTAAGTCATGGAACAATCATGCTGCGAACTCGTTCGGAAAAGAGTTCACTCTTACTTGTAGTCTTCAAGTGGGTTTTACAGAGCGCTAGTTTTGCAGTCGCAAACAGCACGGACATGGCCAGTCACACTACTGAACTTTGTGTCAACTGTGGGGTGTACCCTGAACACGGTATATATTTTGTGTGATCTATTCCGCCACATGAATGTACTCACAAGGCTCTAAGAGTGAAGAACAGTTTTTTTTTTTTTTTAACTTTAGATACTGCAAAATATGTTTGGCAATAGATTCTACAATCTGTTGCTCATATATTCCCCCTTTTTTAACTGTTTCTGTTCTTTTCGACAAACAAATTGTAAATTTTTTTTAATGTTTCATATTTATTTTGCCTGTAGTCTGATTCTTCACAATGAATACTGTTTGGATCTGATGAGTGACATGTTCAGCTAGCGTCTACCTGTATTCTACCTGTATTCTACCTGTATTCTACCTGTATTGGTGGAAAACTTTGTTTTAGGAAACAGCTGCTATACATTGCGGCGTCTGTGGCTTAGTCGTTGCGAGTCCGACTCGTAATTCCAACGTATCGCGATCAAAACCCACTGCTGGCTGCGTGGATTGTTATCGTGGTATGGGGCGTTGCAGATCGACCCAACCTAAAATGTATACTAGGATGGCTGTCCTGAAGAAGACAAGAAGGGCGGCGTATCACTTACCAATTGCCCACCTAGTGCCGATGGTCTAAAAAAATATGGGCGCTCATCGCATATACCCGATGCGCCTAGAGGCGTGACAAGGGATTTTTACTTTACTTTACTTTACTGTTATACATTAATTTATGACGTTGTTAGCCACCTAAGAAAGATTTATTATACAATTATTTCAAAGACTGTTAGACCTATACATTTATTAATTGTGAACATTGTTAGCCCACAGCTTGGAGGATGTCAGTCAAATGTGAGAACTACCTTCGTGTGTACAGCGCCACAACTAAAGACGAGCTCATCCAACTCAGCTTTCGCCAGGACTCCTTATGCACCATCCGTCAGCAATTTCCAGCAGAGCTAGTTCCCCACAAATGCGACAGCCAGTGGTATGGCGAGGTCCTGGAATCCTGCAATGAGACAGGGCAGTGGTCAGCTGCTGACCCAGAGATCGCTGCTCAATGCGAGAACATCTCGGACATCTCCCAGAGCGTGCGTGTCTGTCATGAAAAAACTACCTTCCGCTACTACAAAAACATTTTCTGTGCCATTTGTAACTCTGATTCTAATTTCCTTGACGATTATCTTTGCAATCTTCAGCATGAATTTCGAGGTTGTTGCTATGATGCTCCTGATTGTGTGCCTTTGAATCTGGAAAGAAGAAAAGTTCTTCCATTCTCAATATTGCTTGGCTCTCTTCACGGCAAACATAAACCACTGTCATATTCTGGAATAAAGTTTAAAGACTGTCACGTCTCTGAGTGGTCTAGCCCAGACGGTACATGTCTCCCCTTGCAATGCACGCGTGGAAAATCTCTTGAAGGTGAAAACTGTACAACAGCTATACAAGATATCAATGGTCTTGGGTATAGAGCAAGAGTTGTGTATCTGCCAAAAGACATTAAATATATCAACTTAAGTCAAATAAACTCCACTGAGATGTTGAATTCGTTCATGACATATTTGCGGGAACAACAGATCTTCAGCCCTGATATCTCGGAGACCGAAATTACGGTATATTTTTTGGGGGAAAAAATTATCTCACTGTACACAAACACTGGACGGTCACCTATAACCTCTGATACAGTCTTTAACATTAAAAGACATAATGTAACACCACAATTGTCCACTGATTATTCGCGAATCTTCTTTTACGTCGACACGTATATTATTGCAAATAAGTCACTTTCTAGAGATATTTTTGAGACAGCATTTCTTATGACCTTTCTCATGAATGCGTCTGAATTACAGATTACAGAAAATCTTACAGTTCTAATGCAACCAAATCTTTTACCGCAGCTGCGCGATTTATCAGGAAATTCGTGTCTTTTTACTGAAGAGAAATCGGACATGCAGACGGCGGCAAATACATTTCCGTTTTTCCCAACAATGTTGAATAACAAGCTGTGGAATTACAAAAAGGAGTTTATATTTTCTTCACTAGTTCTCACCTGCGTGCATGTTTCATTTAACAAATCCTATTTTAACATTTCTGTTAATTGTAGTGTTTTCCCTCCAACATGGCAAATCAAATTAAAGTTGCGTAAAATAGAACTAACTTTTTCTGACTTGTCAGACACAAACAGACTGGCTGTAGAAGACAATAATCGAAACGGTGGAGGCCGCATCTTTGTGTGCCAGGATCTGCTGGAAGAGACAATCCTAAAACTGAAGGACATCTCATATAATTCTCATAAAAGCGAGATCGAGCTATGGCTTTACTATCTGACTCATATCTGTATAGGACTTTCACTGTTAACTCTGCTTATGACACTGGTGGTGTATTTGCTTTGTGTATCCTTACGCAATGAAGCAGGAATTAATAACATGTTTTTGTCCGGAACTCTGTTTCTTGCTCAAGCTTCCCTGTTGGCAAGTTCCCATGTTGAAGGTCCGAATTCACTTTGCATTATCTTAGGAATCAGTACGCATTTCTTGTGGCTCAGTATGATCACGTGGAGCTTCATCTGTTGCTTCCACATGTTTCGGGTTTTTACCACCAAGACAGGAATCTCCAAATGCACGAGTACTTCTCAGAGAAATAAACGCATAAAGAAAGCCATCATTGGCGTCATTGTGCCAGCTCTGATAGTGGTGCTAGTTGTCATTAGTACGTACTTCACATCTGAAGGACAGAGAATCGGGTACACAGACACCTATCCTTGTTACCTAGACTCCAGATTGTTAGCCATAGTATCCCTGGTAACGCCTCTTGGGGCGGTGACACTTGCCAACATATACTTCTTTGCTTCTACTGTTCAGCAAATACAAAAAGTAAAGAAATTGCAAGCTCACAGAGACTTTAACCAGAATGAGAGTCAAACTTTCATCATTTACATCAAGTTATCGTCTCTGACTGGAGCCTTTTGGACCATTGCTATCGTCTCTGAATACACTGACAATGAGCCTCTAAGATTCATCGCCATTATTCTCAACGGGCTTCAGGGTGTATTCCTGTTTCTTTCATTCGTCTGCACAAAACGTGTGACCAAGCTTTTCTTTCAAATTCTGCAGCAAGAAAACTGTAGTCCAATTACAAATATTTCCAAAAGTACAAAGGAGTCCAAAGACAAAACATTAGAAAAGTCGTCTACCGTGTGATTGTGGCTTAGAGATTAGTTGATGAGCTGAACAATGTCATCATTCTCGAGCACCAGGTTCGATTCTCGCTGCGGACAGTTTATTTGTGAGAATCCGCACCAGTAAATTGACAGAGGTGCGGAAAAGAATTTAGAGGCATCCTTGTGTAACCCGTTTTAAGCCAGCAGTGGGTTTATCTACGCTGTGATACCAGTGAGATACAAATCCGCGCAGATGTCTTTATTTTTTAGCCAACCTAAGCTTAGTTTGCCTATATCTTATGCTGTACTATATGTTTGCACACCTTTCAAATAAATTTAGAATTGTTTAAAAAACAGCTTTAGTGGAATTCGAGTCACGTATCTGTAAAATCTGCTAGGATCTGATTAATTGCAATCAACACGAAGTTTAAAGTGAGAAACACTTTTGCATACCTACTGCATTATGGATCCGATCCTTGGATAATGATGAATACAACTGCTTTTCAGCCCCTGGAGCCCAACAAGCTCCTAAAGAAGGTACTCTGGTATAAGTGGCAAATGGGCGGCCTGTAAGTCTACACTCTGGCTCCCACATTGCTGTCTGCCATGGTGATGGTTTGGCAATTTGGTGGTTGGTGCTTTTCAGGACTGCTGATTGCCTGCCTGGCCTCCAATGAGATATCATCCTGTATCAAGAGGGAACTCAGAATTAGTAGTCATCTCAGAGGTCACATGCTTAGCTCATTTATTTACCCTCCATCCCTGGCAACCACTCAGAGGACAGCTCTAGAATAATGAGTAGCAGAAGTCTCTATGTATCATCTCTGTCGGTCAGTCAGTAACAGGGACGGGAGACGAGTACCACTGTGGAGACATATAGACTCTATCAAACATAGAACATCAACTCTCCACGCCCACATCTGTACTTGTAGTCACCCAGACTATCATTCCCCCACATATATGTATATATACCTCCACAGTCTGACCAAAGCTGACACTGGGTTGTTTTGTGTCTGCTAAAAATAACCTCTGACGTTGCTGTGCGTTAAAGCGGTGTTTTGACCCAATTTAATCTGCCGGCTTACCTGTCGACTTGATCTCTACCAGTTAGTTAGAGAACGATTCGCCTGCTAAATTAATATATTTACATTAATTTTGGGTTAGTTAGGGTATCAACTCTATGCTAGAAATATTGAAGTTATGACTGATGTGGCTGTGGGCACTTGGACACCAAGTACGGTCTCGTGCTTCGCTGTCTCATAGCTAAATTTTTCCTCCCTGCAGCAGCGGGTTAACTTTATAGGGACATATATGATGGTACTCGTAAACTATAATCAACTTACCCAAGCTTTTCGAAATGTCCTAGACACAAAAGGCCGCCTCCTCAAAGATCCCCTTGTCAGTTCTCCTGGGCAGTCAGACAGAAAATGAAGCGGGATGCTAGACGTCACTTTCAAAGAAGTACCTCTCAAATCAGTATGCCGAGGAGTAAAATGGCTATTCGAAATCTGACTATGTATCGGGAAAATATCTATCCCATAATTGTGAGTTTGAAAATGTAGACTTTACAAGACAGCTTGAGCATATAGAAATAACTATTACGCCAGATAAAGGTATAATTAGATATGATGGACTATATACATATATATATATATATATATATATACTATATTTGAAATGTGACTTGCCCGCTAGAGGTGTTAACGTCACCAATAGTCGAATGTGTAGGGGTGGGCTGGATCACTTCACGACAGTACCCCCTCCCCCAATGAAGAGCGTACTACGAGAATGAACAGTGATCAACCACACCTACACATCCATGGACTCACCACTATCAGTCTGCTCACCACCTTCAGTCTGTAAATCACCAGACAAGGGGTGACGGCTCAATAAATCTGCTCCTACATTCTGATTACCAGGAATATATTCCACAGTAAACAAATAAGGTTGTAGCAGCAAAGACCACCTCATCAGTCTAGGATTCAAATGGGTGGAAGACGCCAAAAACACGAGAGGCTGATGGTCGGTCTGTACGGTGAATTGTACACCATATAAATACAGTTGGAACCACTGTACGCTCCAAACCAAAGCAAGGCACTCTGGCTCAATACAGGAGTAACGTCGTTCGGCCTGGTTGAGCTTTATACTGGCATAT